TTTTCATCCAACAGTGGAACGAGGTATCCAGTTACACCACGTATCCGTATCAGTCGGTTTCTGGGTAGCATCTGGGCATACATCCTTTCAGAAATCTATGAAAAATGATGGACTCATCAATGTCAGTATCCACAAAAATGTGTGACGAAAACAATGTCTCTGTAAATGAAAAACTTGTATTCGCCCATTGTTCGTAATGCATAAATTTGGTTGGGTTTCTCTTGAAAGTAAAGTGGATTCCACACCATGTTGCAGTTCCGTGAACGACATACTTCCTGAATATGACTAAGTTCACCACAGTAATGACCTTCTGAATCTCTGAATCAGCAGTTCTATCGTAGATGAGATTTGCCACACGGCATACACCTATTGATGTTAGTGTTTAGAACCCACTGGTCAGGACATTTTGTCTTCTGGATACGAGAATATTTAAACTGAATCAAGGGTCTATTCCTTCGTGAATTTCTCTGGAACAATGTAACCGACTTACGGATTTTTGCGCTAATGAAATCATCATGCTGCTCACATATACTCCGAGCGTCAGGAAATTCTAGGTCCTTCTTCCCGAGAGACTTTCTTTGAAGAGTCATATCATTGAAGCCTGTGGTATGGCAATCACATAGTTGCTCCTTCAACCTGTCTCCGCAATTGCACCTGGAAGCCCATTCATTGAGCAAAATGGATGCAATCTCAACGAAGCATTAACTCGGCACAAATTGACTAACAAACGAGTTATTCACGATAGAAGTTTCCTGAAAAACGTCGACATTTGACTTCAGGATTAGATGGGCCAAATATGAACTATATATTATAACTCAAATAAGTACAATAAATAACATGCTCTATCGGAAACACTGCTTTCGCAGTGGCTAGGGGGCGGATACGCAGTGACTTGCATGGGTGTGGTGGTACTCGATCCGTAACTTCGAAGGCTGATTCAGGGTTAGTGACCTGAGTCTGCTAGGTGAGCGAGAATAGAGCTTCCTGTGACAACTTTTCAACCGTGTTGAAGACGGTGTGGACAGTGCTCGCCGTTCGGCCAATGTGGATTGCGTTACAAACACAGCTGAAGGAATATAGATAGACATAAATGGGATTAGCGCAGGTAAAACGTCTTTATTCGATATTTTCATTATGAAAAGTCTGTGGATACGCACGGCAAATTGGCTGCAATAAAGGTTTCGCTCATGGCACGCACTAAACGTCTCCTAACCAGATCGAACAGGTCGTCCCCTTTGAATGATGGTTTAATAAGCAGCTAATAATTAGCTCCTGAAAGGGATCATGTATCAACCTGTCTTCGAGGTTTCTTTCAGTCAACCTTTCAGTGTATCCTTCACCCCTGAGAATATTTGTAATCTGACCAAGTTCATCTGTGAACGTGGATTCGGAGCATATGTTTTGTGCACGACAGATGTGGCACTGAATAAAGCTTCCTTTTGTCTAAGAGGCACGAAAATGTGCAGGTTAGTGTAATATCCGGTCCACGTTTCTTTTCGGTATACCGTTCTTTCAAGCAATCCTTTACAGAGCTAAGTTATGGAATGCTAGTTTGTTATCCTTCTCTGTTTTCAGGGTTGAACCTTATGGATTTATCAAAGGTTTGCGTGATGTGGGTCAGGTAGTTCCCTTTGTCGGTCGTGTGATATATATCATCGACATATTGCTTAGAGAACTTCATGTTTCTAACTTCGGATTCCAGTACTGAGTTCTCCGGTATGATCATGAACATATCCGCTATTATCGGACCTAGGGGAGAGCTCATAGCGGCACCATCCCTTTGACAATACTACTTTTTGTTAAATAAAAACTGAACATCGAAAGTGCACTTCAAGATCCGTTCTTTTCGTTTTCATATCAGTACATTTCTGTCGATTCCAATTTCTTCGATGTAGTTACAAATGAAATCAACGGTTTCTATGAGCGGGACGTTCGAATATAATGACACCACATCTGACACATTACAACCTGATTGCAGTGTTGTGGTGACCTGGTGCTTTGAAGCGCGTCGCACCACTCACTCCACATCCCTCCCCCTCCCAACCAATCACTGTGACGTTTGAATGACTGAATGTCCATCCCCGTTTAACGTGTGATTTCCCCACTTTCACTTATTTGCACAGGCACGTCAGTACGACTGCGATTTTCTATTGGAGGAGATCTTACGTCACATCTCCTAGCAGTTAGGTTGATCACAGTTATCATATTCACAGATAGTGTCACATCAGTGAGAGTAGTCTTACGGCTGTTAACACGATCTTGTCTTTGAATCCCACTAATCCACAAACACCACAAAAGATGGATAACAACACTTGGGTGTCCGCGCATATTTACAGAAAAAGCTGTAAATTACATAGCTTTATTTTATTCAAAGTCATATATCATCTAATATTGACTGTGCGGCGGAAATCAACAAATTCCTTGTTTAGATCAATTGTACAATTTAATAATCGACCGGAAATCCTAGCATTCACCAATACTTACAGAATAAATTTATCCAATATATGCTCTGATTGATTGACTCACATTCAACTTCTCCTTTGCAAGGTTTAGAATGGTTCGTAACGATCTGATCTAAAAACTACACTCAAGATCTGGTACACTTTTGAATACTCCAGTTCTTCCTCAACGAATTCTAAACAGCTGGTTTCGTCTAAGAAATACACTCAGCAGTTGACACAGTGCCCAAATTTTTCGATCAGATTGCATTTGTTATCTGGTGGCTACCTTATTAGCTGTTGTTATATGACAACATTGATCAAGCAGTTCATGATATATGTTTAATGTTTGTACAAACTGGAACTAAATCAGTTAATGTGGACGAATAGATTTCAAAACCTTTTCACCAGATACATTATCATAGGAATGTCCGTCTCCCATTACATGTTATTTTACTCATGAACATAGTAGGGCAGAACGTATACCAGTTCGATATTTCTGGAACAGATATCTGTAATAACACATCATGATTTAGTCCATTGGCTATAATTCTGATCAATGGTTTCGAGGTAATCGTACTAGTTATATATTCGAGAATACCGTGGTGTGGTTATGACAGGGATTGGCTGATATCGGAGAGCTTATATGGAATAACGCAGAAGTAATCCATGCGTTTTCGGAAGAACTATAATGAAAAACAGGTTTCGCCATCTATACCACGGAAACATTTCAGATTTCAAATTTATTCAAGAACCAGCAATGAAAACCTTTCTTTGGTCGTGTTTCCTTGAGGCAATAGTGCAAATTTTTCCCTGAATATCTTGGCTCCAGAGACGCGTTTTCTGGGAGCTTCCTGTACCACAATGCTGTTTGGTCAGCATTTAAACTATCCTAATCGGAATACCCGTCTATCACTTCCAGTAAGTCTCGCATGAAAGTCATCCAATAAAACGCGTGATACAACCCAAATTTCACTGCAAACCCAAATGGTAATTTGTGTCGGTAAATCCGAAGAAGTACTTAGTTGGATTGAAGACCACATATCACTGAACCAAGGGTGAAACCAAACTTTAAAAGCGGTTTTCACACCACCGCACTGTCTTGCGAGAAAGTTTTGGATAGCCGAAGGCTCCAATTGTGGATTCCTCAAGAGAATTCACCTGCCTTGGTCTGGGAAACCTGGCAGTATTCCACCCACATGCAAATTATCGAACGTCTTCTTTTTTTCATAAAAATATGTTGTACCATGATTTGTTTGGCACAGTCTCGATTCAGACGTGTGAAAATATAAAAATAGATATACCATTGTAATTATTTTCCTCGAAACAGCAAATAATTTTGCCACAGAGAACCAGACTGATTTAGCAAATGTGACCCATTATAATTCGCGCAAAAGATGGGAGCTTGCGAATTACCAAATCAAATGACACGGTGTGGAATTGTTGATCTCTCTGGGTGTTCCTCGCCGGACTAGTGAACGATATTATTCATGCGTCATACCAGGTGTGCGACGTGCATGTTTATTGGTTATTCGCTACCCATACATTGATCACCAACCGAGTGAGAATGTTTCAGGGTGTGCGAACTAAAACGGGGGCAATATGGTATAGTCAGGAATTACATTAGTGTACGTATGGTTATGTGTTAGTTCGTTAAAATGTGGGAATATATGGTAGAAGATTCTACTTTTTATGGATGGAGCATAAAGAGAAACTGAGTATACTTATTTCTTCTCCAATATATCCTTTTATTCAAGCATTAGTTGGCGGAAACAGTTTGGCTTCTACCTACAGCTCTGTGCAACATTCTGTAGCCATATATATATATATATATATATATATATATATGTTTGGGTCGAGATAATGCAGATTCGACCGTTCCACGTTTATCAACTTTTTCAACAAAAAGTATTAGAAAAGCGATTTCGAAGCATTTCCTTTTGGGGACTAGCTTGCAAGTTTTAGGGCAATACGTTCCCTAGTATGTTTATTTTCATATTAATTTATACTTGATGAATACCTGCGGAACATTTCTTTAAATCAATCTGCCATACACTGCCAAAGCTGTCGCAATTCGAAAAATATGACATTATATGCCCAGATATTATTGTGTGAATATGAATGTAATCATGAATGTATTTATGTATTTATGTATGCATGTGTGTGTCTATGTATGCCTGTATATATATGTATATATATACATATATATAATAGAACGTATGCAATTTATGCATGACAAATTGGTCGTTCATCGTAAAAGATTCTTCATTTGAATTGCGTGACACAACAAGCTACTGGGTTATCACCAATTTGTGCTTGTTTATTGCGGTAATCATCGAACACGCTCAAACTCAGGTCTTTTGTAAGCCACTCTATCCCTCGATTGGACATTGGTTTCATTTCCGCAGCGAACGTTTGTCAACTTCTATATGCACTATTCTTCTTTCATCGATATCTAAAAAATGATGGTGATTTACTATTATCATTATCATTAGTAGTAGTAGTAGTAGTAGTAGTAGTAGTAGTAGTATCATTATTACTCACACACTATTTTCACAGATAATGAAGTCCGAAAGAATTGCACAAATGGCAGAGGCCTACATGAAACCCAAATCGGACACTGCTAACGCCGATCCGGTAGACCAACAGGTCCATCAGCGACAAAATATGCTCGCAAAAATGACTGATAAAATGCGCGAACAGGAATTCAACAATACCAAACGACTGGCGGAAAAATCGAAACACAAAATAAAAAGCTTACTTACTCAATTGGGTTCAAACGATTCCATGCTAAGCTCATTCTCGAGAAAGATTGAATCCGGTGCAAAAATAGAACTGATGATGAAACGACGTTTGACTGCCACCTGTATGGTTTTTCATAACATACGCGGGAAAATGTGTTTTGAGTCATCAGTGAAGGCATGTCACCGCTTGCAAAACGTGCTCAGTTGGACTTTTGGCCTACCAATCCTGATCAAGCACCGGTGTATTGGGCTGATTGCTCAAGGTGCTGCGTGTCCCAACAGTGAGGCAATTGATGCCGCCGTGAAGGACTGCGGTGGTAGTGTATCCAAATTTGGAATTGGTGCCGGTTTCGGTGCGATGTTCTTTCAAGCCACTGAAAGTATCACGGAACTCGGTGCAGCATTTGCAATGGAATTACAAATGCCAAAGCTCAAGCCACCCAAAATGGTCAGTTGGGTGAAAGAGAAGAAGTCCACGATGAAGGCAGTGATGAGACACACACGAGAGACACTAACTATGCTTTTGCGCATCAGTATGATCGCGTCTGTTCTGCTCAAACTCTTGGCATTATTGGTGTTTCGTCAAGCCAGTAAGTATATTACAAACTACCTGATCGATAGTGAATTTGACAACCTATACGTGGATACTGCATTCGAAGCAATCGACGCGAAGCGTCGATCTGAGGGGAGAGAAACTATATTACCGCTTAAAGATTTCGAGAAGAAGAAAGTATTTTGGAGGCGAAAGGGTTATACAAAAGCTGAGTTCACAAAAGCATTCATGACAATAATTAAAGTGCTCGGAATCGGAATTGCTTTGTCCGCATTCTTTTTAATTGATGCATTTATGGCTGATACAATTGGTATGTTGGACGCTGCCACTGCCGGAGAGATCAAAGTTGGGAAAGGTTCCAGCACGAGTCACCAGGCAGCACCTACCGATCCTGGAGTAAATGTGCAAGGTGATGGTATTTTCTATCATATGATAAAGAAAACAACTGACGTGTTGGGGAAAATCAGCAAGATTCACTTAAACATACGACTGAGTTTGTGCAGTCCAAATGTACAATACACTGACCCGTATTATTTTACACGTTTCATCCTTATTTGGGTTTTCATGCTACTGGTGGCTCTCAGCTCCGGTTATCTTCTGCGGGTGCGTCATGTGATATTGAACTTTTTCTATCCTCGTCGACGCCGGCGAAGAGCGATCACTCTCTATAATCGTTTGCTGGTCGATCGTCGTCGACACATGACAGTCTGTCGCAACCTGATTGTGCATCAGGCGCGACAAGGTCATCTGCAAGCAGAAGCACAGGAAATATCGGGCGAGAAGATGTTGCATAATATCAGTCCGTTCTTGGCCAAATTGCTCGGACATGATCGAGTGAAATGTCTGTTGTGCCTGAATTCGGTTCGATTGGGACGCGGTGTCTTCGTTTGTCCATATGATGACACTTCCGTCTGTATGGCGTGCATGACAGTACTTTTTCAAGGTCACAGAACTTGTATCACGTGTCTGGATCGAAATCCACAGCAACTGTTTCGGATTCAACGGAAAATACGAGATATTAAACAATCAGTGATCACAAACATTGACTGATGCAGGACGGATTACAGTGGTCAGTTGTGGAAACGTATGCCCATCCTGGAAGAATTTATTGTTTGAACATTGTCGTTAGAACAGCGTTATCTTTCTCTACTTTGCCACAGTATATTATGTGCTTATATTTTGTAGAAAACTGATATTTATGAATCCATTTTCAATCTGTTTTCAAACAATAATATTGATATTATCGGATGAGCAACTAATCCGATGAAAATTTGCTAACTGTTGTAATCTGTTTATCCATAAAAAGAATTTGTCTCTCTGAAATTCACATGACTTTGTTGTGAAATGTTTCTTATTAAATTTGGAAACGTTTACTGATGAACGGTTTCTTAGCTGCTTTGAAAGGGATCCATTTGAATCTGATTATAGGATGAACTGAGGAAATTGTATTTAGTACCCAACTCATTGCTTTCTTCTTTTTAGGACAATACTCCTAAACTTCATTAATTCTCATCAGATTTGGAGTTAACTTTGTATGCTGTGAAAGTATGCTACTTCGACATGCGACAAAATAATTGAACGCTCTAAGTCTTTGCTAGGCTGTTATATAAATTAATCTGTTCCCAAAATGATCGGACTGGAATTCATTGACAATACATAATCCAATTAAGTAGTATTCTTAAAGTCTCGAAAATTTCAAAAGGCAGATATTTAGTGGGTACACGTTCGTCAAAAAAATGGGAACGTGATTCAGTGTGTGGCAGGTTCGATGAACACACGTTCGTGCAACCGGATTCCATCGCATTTGCCCATAATATCGAAGAACACAGAATGTGATTATTAAATACAGAAAACTTTGCCTGCTACCTGAAAGCTGAGTTTTCTATTCTCAAGATTGAAGTGAACGGTAAACAAAGTGCATTTGGTGACCCTGAATCAACTATGAATAAAAGCGATATGACAGTGAAGTGCTCAAGCAGAGAAACAAGAACATCAGTGAATATGAGGGCACTGAATCCAACTTTCATGTGTATTCTGTGGTTAATTTAAGTATCGAAGACGATCTTGACTTTATTATTCCAGGAAGCACGCCAATCTCTAGTAACAACTGTCAATTATTGATTGTAAAATGGCCTAATTGAAAACTGAATATATGATAAATGGAACTTAATCTCAACCACAATATAGAACAGTTTAGGGAAAATTGCTATGCTCACTGTTGTATCCCGTTTGTGCAAACAAATAAGTGTGCAGTTCGTCTATTTGCGGTATGCACACGCACGTTACCTCTCTGCATACCAGTGATCAAGATAGATGTCAAGGCACAAGCGGTTCCCAAAAGCAGAACATAGAAGCAAGTGCAGGCGTTACATTAAATAAGCTTGCGATCAAGCAGAGCAGGCAATCCGCCGAAGAATCAGTCAACACGGATCATTCAGTGCAAACATTTCATTCGCTCTGGTGAATCAACCTTGCCTTAGAGTCGGTTCGTCAGTGTGTGTGTGCTCGTGTACGTGTGTGATTACGAACAACAACAATCAATCAATTAGTCATTCAATAAATCAGTTAACCAACTAATCAAATAACCAAACCGACCACGGGCATGCAGACCACATGTTCCTTTTAATTTTAGGTCACGACACTCGCAAACGAGTATTTGTCATCAGTTGCAGTTTATACAACCATTAATCCTGCACGTTTGCTGGTCGGTTTTGGTTACTTCTTTTCGGTTACTCATTTGGCTAAAGAATTAAGCAGAAGAATTGGAATACTGAATTCAAGGAAGATCGAGAACTCTGGAAGAGAAGGGTCACCAAGAAATCGCACAATAACTTTGAATATTCCAATCGTAGCATTGAGGAAACGAGTCGGTGAGCGAACAATTGTTTTCGGATATTCCTAGTCATGCACTTAGATATCATATGGTGGAAAATATTCTTAGATAATGACAGCCATTGGCTCAATTTAAGGTCATTATTCGCAGTCAGAGAGTAATTGAAGGGTGTGTGTATGTGTGAAGGAATGTTCACCGTGTTAGTTGATGTGACCTTTCCCCACTTGGATCAAGTGACACGTCATGTTCTGTCTTGGTCTTCACACTCCGCAAAGGCAATTGGAGCACGTGCACCAATCGTTTTTGAGCACACAGGTCGGGGCCTAGTGAGCGAATGACGATCGCCTCGGACATGATCAGTGTCCAAATTCGGGCCGCCTTCGATCGAATGAGTGGGATAAACAACAGGTATCTCCCAAAAAGAATTATTCGTAGGAATCCCATTTAAGGGGGACTCGCACACAGAGAGCCTAGTTCAATCACTGTGA